TTATGTATTTCTCCTCCATCCTTCAGGTCAAAGGTTACTGTTTTCCTGGCGAGCGTCCCTGTGGCAGCGATCAGGGCTGCTACTCTGAACGCCAACGCTGCGACGGCTACTGGCACTGCCCATCAGGACGCGACGAGGAGGCCTGCCCGACGTGCCCAGATGGGGAGTTCCCCTGCGAGGGTGGTACCGGAGTGTGCTACCCGGCCTCCGAGCGCTGCAACAACCAGAAGAGGTGCCCGGATGGGTCTGACGAGAAGAACTGCTATGACTGCCAACCCGGAAACTTCCACTGTGGGACTAACCTGTGCATCTTTGAGACGTGGCGGTGTGATGGCCAGGAGGACTGCTTGGACGGGAGCGATGAGAGGGACTGCCTGGCGGCGGTGCCCAGGAAAGTGATCACGGCCGCCCTGATCGGCAGTCTGGTCTGCAGTCTGCTGCTGGTCATTGCCCTTGGCTGTGCCCTAAAACTCCACTCGCTCAGGAGCAGAGAGTACAGGTGGGGAGAGACAACACAACACAGCTTTCATATTCACTTTTTATTACTGGTCCCCCTTCTTACACTAAGTATGCATGTACTGTTTTTTCTTCTTTTTGTCATTGAATAACTCTATGACCATAGTAACAAGTTCTATATGCAAGGTCAGTCTTATATTTGGGTCCTTATTGCTGTTGTTTTTTTAGAATAACATGTTTTCCTAACTTATTAACTCGCTCACTCTCTGTCTACGTCATTTCAGAGCTTTTGAGACTCAAATGACTCGCATGGAGGCCGAGTTTGTTCAGAGAGAGGCCCCCCCTTCGTACGGCCAGTTAATCGCCCAGGGTCTCATCCCTCCGGTGGAGGATTTCCCGGTGTACAACCCCACCCAGGTAGAGCATTCACACACAGTAATACACTCTGGGCCTCATTTTCTTGAAGCTAAGGATATGAACAACAATTTTAGTGTCCAGCAGCTGCAGTAGTGCAATCATGACACAGACAATATTGAATTTTTATAACTTATTATAGTGCATAAAATGTGTTTCCTTTATTATTGGTTGCTCAGAGGAATAGTTTGAATTTTGGGGAAGCTAGCTTGGTTCTGAAGGTAATAAAATCTCCCTATCAGCACATCTTAAGATCACAAAGTAACACGTATCTTTTTTATTTAATCCGTGTAAAACCAAGAATTTGCAGTTTTACAGGGGCTTATGTGCAGGGCTATTTTTTGCTGATGCCGTGACATCTGAACTTGCATGGCATATACACAATGATGACAAGACTCCTGGAAGTCACTGCTCCCAGCCAAGAAATAGTACACATAACCCCCTGTACAACAGCAAGTTGTTGTTTTTACACTTTGGATGTGGATGGACAAAAAGAAGTTCTTTTAATTAGTAGTTAGTGAGCGTTCGAGTTACTGGCAGGTTGGTTTTATTACCTTAGGACAAATTAACAATAGCTGTTTCCCTGTTTCCAGTCTTTATGCTAAGCTAAGTTAAGCTAACTGGCTGCTTGTTCCAGTTTCATATTGCATAGACAGATATAAGAGTGGTACGGATCCTCCCAGCCAACTCTCAGCGAGACAGGCAACAGGGCCATAAATGGCTACTATTTCTGGTAAAATGTACTTTACAAAATTGTAGCTCCCGTCTGTCCGCCCTCTCCCTCCTACAGGCCTCCGTATTACAGAACCTGCGGTTGGCGATGCGCAGGCAGATCAGACGCCACTCGACGCGACGCACCAACTCCTCCTCCTCTCGACGGCGTCTTGGGCATCTGTGGAGTCGCCTGTTCCACAGTGGAGGACGAACCAGAGGCCACGCCCCCCTGCTTGACCCCCCTGGACCTACACAGATCACACTGGGGCTCCATAGCTACCGAACTGTGGGTGTGCAAGGGCCCCAGGCAAGGGCCAGGTCTGGAGCTGGGCTCGGGGATGAGGTCAATGTAGTTGGTATGCCAGGCTCTTGCTGCTCAGCCAACATGGACATGCAGCCCTACACGCCTGAAAGCCCTGCCTCACCTCTGTCCTTGCAGTCAGTGGACAGTCCAGAGGAGGAGGACCTGTCACCTGTCAGCAGCAGGGCTCCGCAGTCTGAGCCCGCCACCCCTGTTCAGAGTGACTGTTCTGCCCATAGCAGACCGCCTCTCACTCCCCAGGAGGCCTCTGTACCCCCATGCCACCCCCGGGCATCTAGAAAGCTGGTTCTGGAGCTTGCTGTTAACCTAAAGGGTGTTTCCTTGAGACGTTACTCCCCCTTGGGGCCTTTGTCCCCTATCTCACCCCCTGTGTTTCCCAGCAGCTCGCAGACGTCTACAACCCACCCTCACACCCAAGGGCTGGAGGTGACTTCACCTCCCGAGCCCTCGTCTTCTGCGAAAGCAGAGGACAGCGATAGCCACTTTACCGTGGAAGTGCCATGCAGGGAATTAAGAAGCAGGGATGAGAGGAGGAGGGAGGGCAAGAGCAGACTCTGCAGGTTCAGGACCTTCAGTGATGAGGGAGGAGATTCAGGGAGAGAGACAAGGCCAAACTTTTAGAAGAGTTTAGGAAGATGCTCTCCTACCCCTCTCTCTGTTGAGACCTGGTGTCAGCAATATCTGCTCTGCTAAAGTGTCCTTGAAGTGTGTCCTACCAGACCCAGAGGTGAGACCCGTACCATATCCCACCACATGTAGGGGGCACAGTACAATATAATTAGGTCATGACCCTTTCAACACTTTGAATGCATAAAAATCTGCACATGCACAAAATTATGCATATGCAGTCTTTTCCTAAGATGAATAAAACCAGCGTTGGTAGTGCTTATGGTGTGTGCTGTAATGTAAATCTTTTTGTCAAACAGGAGCTTAATGTTGACCCCCACAGTTCAGTGCAAACAGACAACCTTGTTTAACCTGTTTAGACATAAACTCATCACGAGCCTGTCCCAGAAATTCAAACTCAATTCCGGCCACCAGTACCAATACAATATTGACAACGCCAAAGCAGCCTTTGTGTCGTTACCCAGAGCCATTATGCACCGCTATATACTGTGAACCATAAAAGCCTATTAAGTGATCACATATGAATTTATCGGATTAATGGTCCCCTACTCTGTCCTATTCCCACTCTTTTGTTTGAGGTGGTGTTAGTTTTGTTATTGCATAACAAGGTCATGGTTGGCTGTCGCAGTTAAGGAAAAAGCTGGCAATATTTTAGATCTTTTCTATTTGTCAACAAATCATATGAAAAAGCTAAAACCAAAATGTGTCCTACTACAACTAATACTTTTGAACTTCACCAGCCTGTGTATATACTTAAATTTATTTTAAAGGCTAAATAATTTCCCAAAACTGAAATCTTCAAAAAACGACATTTGTCGGAGACTATTTTCAGCCGTGCATTAATACACAGTTGGTGCATGTTTATGGTAATGATGCAACATGTCACCCAGTGCTACAGTGGGGCTCATTGGTGTGGTTTTAATAGTTTTTGGATAACCATGGTGTCTGTGAGACAGAGGAATAAGCTATATTAGGCTACACAGACAATACTAGAATAATACATTGTTGGTTTTGGTCTTTTCATGGGAGTTTTTAACAATAAAAAAGTATAAAATACCACCAGACTTACTGTTTTAAATACAACTTTGAACCAGAAACGTTTGACATTCTGGGAAATATTCTTAATTGATTTTTTGGCGGAAAGTTAGAAATGATAAGAAAATTGATACCACGCTCATATCTGTGCATAAGATTTAAGGCTACCCCAGCAGCCAGTCAGCTTAGCTTAGCTTAGCACAAAAACTGGAAACAGATTGAAACAACTAGCCTGGCTCTGTCTAAAGGTAGCTGTCAAAGGTGCTGGCTAAAGCCTTATTTATAACAACATGAGATATTAAAGTGGTCTCATATAACTCTTAGCCAAAGTGCAAATAAGCCTATTTCCCAAAAATGTCCAAATATTCCTCTAACACTTGTGCAGTGTCACGGATTCATGCCGCGGTTCAATCATGCCAAACTCTCGTCAGTATTTATTCAACATATACTGTACGTTTCCCCCGTGTTGCTTCTGTGACCCCTTTTAAGAAACACTTAGAACTTTCTCATTATGTTTTGGAAGTTGTATCATAGATTTTTAAATTCAGCAATTTTAACTTGATATATCATCAGTTTTAAAAAGCCAAACCTGGATGGAAACTGAAGAAGGGAGTCCAACTATATGGCTCTGTAATTCAAATTCAAACCCAAACTGTCCTCTCCAGGAAGCCTCTCCTCGCTTGAATGAACTTGACTGTGTCTGATTTCTATTCAGTTCAGTGAAGACTTTACATGAATGTCCAGGAAAAGGGATGCTTCTTTACACTATTGATTGTTTGCAGAGTCTCCTTCAATCAGCGGTACTGATGCGTACTGCAGACTGCACACTGGTCACTGCAGATGTCTGAACTGCTGGTTTATTCCACTGGAAATTCATATCTATGCTGTGGAATTTTCTATGACAGGATGTAAAAACAAAGACCTCTATTTTTCAGTCTTCAGCGGAGACCTGTACTTGTTCTACTTTATATTTCTCTCTCTGCCTTGACAAACGTTGACCTTGATTGAACCTGGTTGCCTGTGTCTCTGATGTTTTGTAAAGCTTGTCTCTCTGAAGTTATGACACTGATGACCCTTTACTAATCACTGTTGGACTTCTAAAGAATGTATCACTTTCATTTTTCTTGAAATCAATGAATTTCTGAGTCTTTTATTGCAGCATATTGATACTGAACAGAAAAGACAGATTACGAGTGTAAGTGGCGAGAGAATGAGAAATGGGGCCAATTGCTGGTAGATATTTAGCTGCAGTGTCAGGTTCTACGGAAGCCCCGAGAGGCAAGTGAGAAAGAAAAATCAGGTGGCCTATTTTTAATTCTGATCTATTTTTAAGTGTGAATTAAATTGTTTTCTTTCATGTGTTTATGACTTAGAACAAAAAAAGGATTTTCCGGGATAATAAGTGTTTGATTTTGTAATACTCACTTCAGCCACAAGGGGCTAAAGTGCACCACTTTTCTTTCAGGCACTCTAAACATAAGTATATTATGTATTAGCTAACACAACTTCTTTTTTCCCAGTTTCACAGGTGTAAAATTATTTGGATTATTCTGGTATATATATTTATGATTTTTTTCACTTTTGTTTGTAAGTCATAAAAAGAGAGAGGAAGAAAACAATTTAGCCATAGAAAAATTCATCACCTGAATTTTCTTTTTTTTTTGCCTCTCTGGGCCTCCATAGATTTCTGTACTAAATACATGGTCTTTCCTGCTGTTTTCCCTTTTAAAGTGAGCTTAATGTGCCATGCTACCCTCATGTGCTTCCTTCTAATAGAGGTTTTGTCTTTAACAGCTGCTACATGATGTGCCATTAGAGATGTCTCCATACCCCTTCACAATTAATCCTTCCTAATGATCTGTTCTAATTCCCTTTCCTTTCCCTCGAGATATAGAGAAATACAAATTGATTTACTCATTTCTAGTTTTGCATATTTTGTGCTATTTTTTTATTATTGTACCTTGTTATTTAAGTTCAAAGCCTGTTGTCCTCATTTGACTTAATGAAATAGTTTAGCTGCTGTTTGAAATTTTTTTGATTTCATTAATATCTGCAGAATGTGTGTACTTGCTTTGTAATGTACATAAGTGTGTTATAATGCCTTAATGGGTTTTCCTTGCTCTTGTAAATATCATGGAGGGTTTCACGGAACAGTTGTGGTTTACATGTATGAAGAGATGAGATTTGTCTGTGTGTCTGGACACAGCTCCACGGTGTGACATGTGATTGGTACGACTGACTACTCTGGAGGTATAGTGCACTACTACGTCAGGAATCTCTGGGATTATTATGGAAGAAGAGTTAGGGAAAAGAACATTTGTTTTTCAAAAACCTTGTTCATGTGTATTTACTTGTGTATTTAAATGGCAATTGGTAAAAGTCTTGGTGACTTTCATTGCTTTGATGTTTTTCAGACTGCAGCCAATAATTTGAATTCTGTCCATGTAACGTGAGACTGTCACATTGGCTACTAAAGGTTAAGGTGATGTTTTATTATCTGTTAAGGATCAAGATGTTGTGTACCCTAGGTTTTATTAGTTTGTTAAAGTTGTGATAAACTGCTGGACAGAAGCCATGTCAACATCTTCTAAACTGTTTTGTCAGTGTTTTTTTTCCCCCTTTTTTTCCCATCTTTCCATTGCTTTTATTCACTCAAGTACATAATCAAAACCTTTCCAACATGAGTAATAACTGTACTTTTCAATAGGTTAGCACATGGGTAAATACACTGGATCAAGGCCATTGGAAATTAAAGTACTACTAAACCAGGTTGTCTGATACGGCATCCCCTCTCCTTGCTTTTAAAGCTCATTCCCCATCAAAGGCTGAAGTCAACATATACTGTTTGTATAAAAGCATTTCTCTCATTTTAAGAACTATATTTGTATATTTTGTGCTGAGAGATGCCACCATGACATGGGGTTTGCTGATCAAAACCCTGTACAGCCTTCTGCTCATTAGTCCTGTGCCTGCAATCAATAAACTTCAAGCTCTTTATCATTTACGGACTTTTTTCAGTGTATGAAATGTGATTTATCAAAAGTTTTATGTTTGCATCCACCTACTATTCCCAGTACCACCATAATACTGTCTGTGGTCTTCATGCTAGCGTCTGAGGCTGTACTTAAACGCACAGCAGGGCTTTTTAGCCAAATGCTAATGTCAACATGCTAACACGTTCACAGAGACAATGCTTGCATGTTTACCACGTTCACCGTGTTGGTGTGTTGGCATGCTAACATTTGCTAATAAGCACACAATGCTGAAGTGATCAATTTAGAAAAGTCTTGGGATGATATTGAGGACACAATAACCAGTTGCATTATCAAAAAAGAATTATGCTTCTTAGAAGTTGCTATATTTAATGAGCAATTACATTGTTATTCTTGTACAACTTAACACACTTACAAAACACAGATGTACACCCATCAATTGTACAGTATGTAAATGTATCACAACATGTCTGAGGAATGTGATCTTTCAAAGTCCAAAGGCAGTTTGTCTTTTTTCTTTACACAGTATTTACAGATCTCAGCTGAGCTAACAGTGTCTGGACGTGGCAGACAGATATACACGTCATCTTTAAGTTTGAGTGTTTTTATGTGGATTTGATGTGGTGGGGAATCTGGCCTGGAAAAGGACTGAATGTTCAATCCAAGTTCCAACCTGCTTGTTTCATCATGTTAAAAAGGCCACTGGCCCAGACCTTCTATGTTCTGTTGCATGTACAGTACAACATAAACAGCTTATAGACAAGTGCTCTAAGGAATTACCGAAACACACGTAAACACAAATATCTCCTTGACCACAGTAAATTAGCATACTGTGTTAAGGTAGTGGTACCACAACTTCAGTAAGGAAACTTGATCTTAATTATTTTACGTTTTTAAACTCAGTTGCTCAATTGGGTCATAATAAGTCAATATCTTTTCGATTCAACTACCAATGAAAGTACACAGTAGGTCAATGGGATGATAATCAGTTCAACTATATTATATAATAATATCATAGTAAGTCAGCGTGCTGGGGTAACTGCAGTGATGACGTCTTTGGGGAAGTGAGAGAAAGCCCATGCACAAGTAAACATCCACTGCCACCTATCTGTCAACATGGGTCCTGCTAATGTAACATTAATGTTAAGTAGTGAATCACATCAGGTGAAAAATCTGAAATCTAATAACTGTCTTGGCAGGTCAAGCACATTAAAGAGTTCACAGTGGCATTCATTCCCAGAGATGAGAACATTTCCAAAGCAACAAGCTCAACAGAGGCTCGGGGTGCTCGGAGACCAAAGGAGACAGGTGTACATTAAAAACCTGAAGAACAGCCTGTCAACATGTGTTGTAATGATGCAGCTTAATCTTTTGAGAGAGAGTCAGCCATTCGGTCCAGCTGACAGCCACAAACTTCCCATCATCCTCCTGTTACTCCTGTGCTGTGAATATTGCTGGGAAAGATGAGTGTTGTGTGGATAACCTCTCTAATAACAATATGAAGGCACCTGCAGTATCTCTCAGGAGAGGCATGACAATAAAAAAAGAGAGGGATGTAAAGTAAAAGGGAAGGCCAGATACTGCGGCCTGGCAGAGAAACAGACGGAAAAATACTCATCCACAGTAAACATCATGTGAGTAATTAGTGAGAGAGAGCTGAAGGTAGCAGCAGTAAAAGAGAAGTATTGCCAAGTGCAGAAACTGCTTGCATATTTACCTCATAAAAGTTATTACACAATCAAAATACCCGCACAAACCAATACACTATACCAACACATACATTTCATAAGGCACATTAGCTCAAGGATTTAGTTAAAGTCATAAAAGAAGAATATCTTGGAAGTGAAGCGGAAGAGTACAGATGGAGGTTCCTTCAGTGAGTAGAAGTGAGATGATGAGCTAAAGATCTGCATGAAAGAAGAGAAAAACTTGGCATACTGGTGAGGACAAAGAGGGGTACAGTACTACCAAACCAACAATAAACATTATCAACTTCAGGGCTTAACATGCTAATGCCCAAAGTATATCCATCAGCTTCTTTTATACTGGCGCTTCATCGCAGCCCCACTCAGGCTGCACCTGTTCAAGAACATGGACGAAACCATCTGTTCACCATCACCACAAACTGACCAAACTGTGATAAACTGTAACACAAAAAACTGGAAGTACAGGTTGATCTAAAAAGGGACTTCCTGGTTGACTGCACTGCTCAGTCAATGGCTTTGGAGGCAGTGAGGGGTTCAGTCTCTGAAGGGTCTTCCTGAGGAAACACCACATAACACACTTTCTGGCCCATGTATGTGACTCTTTCTGCAACACAAAACACAACATGAGGAGTTTAATTAAAGGGATGAACTGCTAACATATCTAAATAAATATCAGTCAACACTGGACGGTGGCACAGGCCAACTCACCTACTAGCCTGTAGACCCATTTGGGTTTGTCCTTCCACCGAACACCCACAAAGTATACAGGGACTCCAGTCAGCATGATGACCATTCCCAGGCCACAAACCACTGGTTCAGAGTACAGACTGAAGCCCAGCAGCACAGCCCAAAATATCATGTAGCTGATGGGGATCAGCATGTTTACCTGCACAGGACAGACACAGACTCAATTCCACACAATCCTTTCTCTTTTCCAAAAAATTGCCACCTTGCATTAAATGAGATTAGATTTTTTAAATTTCTTCCATCTGAGACAGTTCCCACACAGTCTCTGTATGCAGTATACTGTATCCAAGCAAAAAAACGATTTGAGACAAAATTCCGAATAATTGTGACATACACTCTGTGGGTGAGTGTGCTCCTCTGACACTGGGAGCAAACGTTTTATTGTTTTCTGCAGCTTTTTTACGGCTGCTTTAGTTAGACTGTGAGAGTGATTATATGTTTGTTGTGTGCACTATCGCATTAAAGCCATTTAACCCAGTGGGTAGTTTTGCGTAAGACTGGAGACAAACGGATGACTACAAACTACTTTTCAGTGCACTGACACCGCGGGAAAAGGCTCCCGATATTAAAGCAGGACTTTATTATCTCACGCAGTCCAACGTGCTGTGTGTGTGTGTGTGTGTGTGTGTGGTGTGGTGTGTTGTGTGTTGTTGTGTGTGTGTTGTGTGATCGTGTTGAATTGTCTATGCTATGTGTTTTTCTGTTTGCCTCAATTGCCCCTGAGGGATGAACATGAAGTAGACACCAGGTGGCGCCAAAGTACTGTCCATATCCATAGTGACAAACTACCAACAAGTCACATCTGACCATATACAATGGCCCATTAATTGTCCTGTTTAGAGCTCTGTGTCCACTTTGGCTGCTGAGTTAATATTTGGTTTCATGGCTGCTGCTCAGCTGAGGTGATAAAAATTAAAATATGAATGTTTCGCGAGCGGAGGGGATGGAGGCGTGACAGGGAGGCGGCGGAGGGGAGGGTGGTGGGGTACGTGCTTGGCGGGAAAATACAATCATCTGCATCTACGGAGCGCGAGGCGCGGCGCGAGGAGGAGCGAGAGAGGGGGGCGGTGACAGTGGTGATGTAAAACTTAAGCCCTCTAGTGCACATACCTGAGAATCGGACTTTTACAAGTGAAAGGAGGAGCAGGAAGAGCTTCGAAATCACTAATGCCCGTATTCATCAGCACTGGACACATTCTTAATGCAGTGCTACAAGATCCGAGGGGGGTGAGCAGGGGAGTAGGGGGGGGTGGTAGTGGGAGGGGGGAGGGTGGGAGTCGGGAGACGCAGTAGGTGAGGGAGGGGGGGGGGGGGCGAGCGCGAGACAAGCGACGCGGAGAGCTGGTGAAGGTGTCGGAGATATGGTCGGGAGGTCGACGGATGCGTTGGAGAAGTATTATTCCTACTGTGGATTCTGGGTTCTGTACCTTGATGGGTCTGGCCAGGTTGGGTCTCTTCTTGCGGAGGTAGAGGAGGCCGGCAATGGTTACACCATAAGACAGATAGTTGATGAAGGACACATAGTTGATCAGGTTGTGTGTCTCTCCAATGCACAGGATAAATATGGTGGCAATGCACTGTGGGAGATGAATGCACAGGTTCAGAAGTCAAATGCATATCGAACTAACTGAAAATAATGCAAAATAATTAATTAATTAATATTCAAAAATAAGATTCAAGATTCAAGATTCAATACTTTATTGCCATACAACTCGGTGCAAGTTGCTAGGGATTTGCTTCAATCTGTGTGTGTGGCTGGACAGAGTAGACAAAGCTGTGAGCGCAGTACTCACACAGACCAGCAGGGCGGGGATTGGAGTGCAGTTCTTTAGGTGGATCATAGCCAGCAGGTAGGGCAGGTGACCCTCTCTGGCTCCCGAGAAACACAACCTACAGATAGACACATGCTTGTACGTGTGTATGTTCATCTTAACACAGGGTCGACGCCACTGTTTATTTATTCTGAGGACATATTTGGCAAAGGAAGGTGAGTGTGTTCTACCTGGAGGAGGTGAACAGATATCCATTGATTCCTCCAAAGGTGGACAGTGCTACAGAGATCGGCATCACCCAGGAAAACATCCCCAGCAGCTTTTCCCCGAATGTCTGGAACAACACAACATCTAATGGATCAGATTATTGACTTTTGCTGAGTGACTGATTTACTGATTCATTTAGTCAGTCCTTAAGTAAGATGTTAAATTATTAATTTTACTGAAAGATGCATTGTACATTTTGAACACCCTGCATAGCTATATATCAGACTGTTGCTGCACAGGCGTATGTTCATGGGATAGATAATTGTTGTTTTTAGTCCCTTTTAGGTGATTTAAAATGTTGAATAATGACGGCCTTATGCTTTAATGTACCAGGACACTGCTTGTATTTCAAGTACTTCAAAGGAAAGTAATCAAAACCTGAACTCATGACTGTTTCCCAGTTTTCCCCCTGGGATCATGCAACAAACTTTAATCTTATTGGCTGATTGATTAATTGGTTGGTTGAGGTCTGTCTCATGTTAGGATCCTCAGCTTCAGCAGAGTTGAACAGTATGTAAACGAGCTCCCATATAAATCATCCATTCATGGAGCTGGAGAGCTGCTCACCACTGCCACAGCGTTGGACGCCAGCAGCTCCTCAGGGGTCATGGAGGAGAAGTAAGCGATGTTGGTCATGGTGTAGACAAGTGTCACCAGTGGGATGGAAATGTAAATGGCAAGGGGCAGGTTCCTAATGCAAATAATGATAAAAGTAATAGCGGTAATTCAGATGTTTGTGTACCAGCATTACAAAACTTGAGTTTCTGCAGGTTTTACACAGCATTAACAACACTAAAGTGACTGAGGTGTACATTTAGATTGATATACTTTAGTGTCAGTTGTTTATCGGAAACCTGTAGAGCTGTGAAATGCTATCTGTGGATGTGCGTGACGTACTTGCGTGGCTCCACGATCTCCTCTGTAACATAGTTGAGAAAATTCCAGCCGCTGTAGGCAAAGGAGGCCTGAAGGAAGGCCAGCGCTATTTGTCCCACTGAGGGGTCCTGGCTGAATTCAAAGGCCACACTGGGCCTTAGGGCATCATAGTGACCTGGAGCAGGTGAGAGGAAAGGATGTGTGGATTAAACACTCAAAATTGTTTCATGGCCTAGTCCAATAAGTGCATTAAGCAATCAGTGTACTATATCTACATATGCATAGTTCATTCCAAACCAGAAATTTCTGTCATGTTAAGGATTTCATCTCACCAAAATGTGTGTGTGTTTACCTCTACAGATTTGGACAAGTCCTACCAAGATGATGAGTGCCAGAGCAAGGAGTTTTCCTACGGTGAAAACATCCTGGATCCTTGTTGCCCAGCGCACACTGGAGCAATTCACCCAGGTCAGGAATACTGCGACACACACAAAATTGTTTAGAATGATCATGTGTCTAACAGGCTTTGCCTTATAAATGCAGGGTTTTGTCACAGTGCCGTGTAATAGATAGAACCTCCACTATATTAATAACCTCTACTAATATCAGACACTTTAATAAAATTCAACCATAACCTTCTGGGAAAAGTAGCATTTTTTTTACCAGCTGGGTGCATGTTTTACAATGACAAATGGGTTGGTAAATGGAAAGATGCATAAATACACAATCACAAACTTTAAATAATCTCCCTTTAATGTTTCCTTTTATTAAGGTAATTATTACCCTTTTAAAAAAATCATAATGTATGCAATGCATTAGAATCCAAGCTCCATTATCCTGCACTGACAAAGCATTGAAATGTGGAGATGTGATGAGACCTTCAACACATTGTATAGTGTTTCTAATTATGCCCACATTCAATCTACATACACAAGCATCAGTTTATTTTTTACCTTTTAAAAACACAATGACAATTCACAGTGACTACATGTGTTTTGCTGCCTCTTTCATATTTATGTTCAAGATTAAGGTGTGTACATTGTCTCACTGACTGCACATTCCTCTCTTGTCAGCACACAGAAGCAAAAGAAAGACCATCTTTCCTGACAAAACAGATAGAAGTCTATGGAATTGAACACTTCCTACTTCCCGTTTCCTACTTGCATTGTGTGTGAGTTTGTGTGTGCGCGTGTGCCCCTGCTCCCCACACCACAGTCTCAGCCATTGACCTTCACACTGACCCTCAGTATTGCGTGTTTGCGAGTGCCACAATAACAAGGGTTGGCCAAATTCCAAGTGAGCCAATCTGGACAAGTGCAAGTGGCTCTCCAGTTGCCCTGAAACTGGAGTGCAGGCTTACAAGAGAGGTAAACTCAGTAGGAAGTGTGAGTCGTGCTACCAGCACAGAGAAACAAAGACAGAGAGAAAACAAGTGTAGTTGTACTTTTCTTGCACTGCTTTTGAAATGCTGACAGCAGGGGCATCAACATAGCTTTAGGGTGAGTGGTGGGACAGCAGGATGCAGCAAATGAATGAGCAGAGCCCCGCAAGTTAAGCCTGGGTCACACTACTAAAAGGGTGTATAAATGTAAATAAATGTAAAGCCAATTTCCTGGTCTCATTTTCAGTAATGAAATCTAAACCTCACTACGAACCTACAGACAGACAACCACAACTACCTTCAAAGTACTCATGATTATAAAGTACTGATAAACCCTGATTTAAAAGCTATAAAAATGTTCTTAGATTTATACTTGAACTAAGCCTTAAGACCATTTCTGATGGTGTGCTTATGTTCAATTCATAAAAGACAAAGAGCATAAACAAAAGTTGCTTAAACATGTCCAAGTCCATTTGTAACTTACACACCTGTGATCTAGAAATCTCAAATGGCACCGCCTTAAATAATGCTAGCACAAGTAAGGGTTTAGACAGGAATAGCCATGGACCAAAAGACCCTGTCTTTTATACTGACCATTGCTTGTGTTTAATGTGCACTCAGGATAGTGTGGGAGAAAACAAAAACTCAGGACTCAGTTTAGGCAATAGGGTGTGTGTAATTAACATTGTCTATCCGCCTTTCTTTGTCCCTCCTGTTGTCTCTCAGTTTTCTGCAGATGTCTCATTCTCTTCATATTTCTCTATATTTCTCTATATTTCTCAATTTCTCTCCTTTTACACACAAACACACTCTGTTGCAGTAATAGCACAGCTGTGTGTGTGTGTGTGTGTGTGCTGGTGTGCTGTGGTGTGTGTGGTGTGTGGTGTGTGTGCTGGTGTGTGCGTGTGTGCGTGTGCGCGCGCGCAAGGAAATACGGGTGTGGGGTGTTATCGACCATCCATCACCGGGGCAAGGTTCCCCTCCCAGCACAGAAATCTGAACAAACTGCTTCCGCTGGCGCGGGAACACACACATACACACACGTGTGAATTTTTGGCAGGAGGTTTTGGTGGCACCGGGCAGAGCTTTCTCTCTCCCTACAACACCGCTGTGTTTTATAGTCAGTTACCCTAGGGGTGTTACATGCATTTCCGCTTCTGTGTTCCTGTGAACCCCCCCTCCCTGTGTTAACCCTGACAGGAAGGAGGTGCCAGTGGGCTTTGAATGTGACAGCACAGGTAAATCTGTGTCCTGCTGTCACAGTTTCTATTGAATGCTGCCTCAGCACTAGAATACTAAACTAATTACTGCTTTTACTCTTAATGGATTCTGAACCCAACTTTGTGGAGATTTATCAGGGGGCTTTAACCTCAGGAACGCCTCCTCTTGGTCCAGGATCTGGTCACTGGAGTCACTGAGCTGGCAATAACCCCCCTCCCAAGTCCTGTCTATGCACCACAAGGTATCTGACACCAGAATTCCGTCAGACTACAGTAAATCTACAGGATTTAGTCTGTTTAGTCTAAATGCAGAAACATGCTGACAACTAACACAGTACAGTTAGTGATGTAGTGTTAGGGCTAGATAAAAGGAAGACTGCACTCAGCCGTCACTGGTCATTTTTCTTTATTTAACTCCCATTCAGGCTTAAACTCTCCTTTTAAAAAGAGCCCTGGCTAAGAGGGCAACAACACAGACTGTTACAGATGGATGGGGGAGCACATAATTATACATGTCAAGAGGGAAGGTTAGATTGGTTTTGTTTTAGCATAGCTTTAGTATATTTACATTTTTTCTTATTTGTATTTATTTAACTATCTTTAAGATGAGATAATCTTAAAGATAAAGAACAATATAACAACTTCAACAACAGTCTTTTGAATTGTGTGCTTCCCCTTGGGCGTGAACTAAAACCGGAATGCCAGCTCTCTGCAACATTAGACAATTACAGTAATTCCTTTATGGAATAACATGTTTTCCCCCCCATTATGTATCTTTCAGAGAGCTGTGTGCAGACATGTCTGAAGATGAATTCAGACACTGCAAAATTAGCAGGTTTTTTGTTACTGTGGTACATTAGCATTTTATCATATTTACTCTTTAACAGATGAGATGCAACGACTTAATGATAGAGCAAAGTTGCTGAAGGGTCTAACGAATAAGTGCATTATGTGATGATCTCTTTATCCCATGAGCCATCCATATCCTTACCACTTTTACTTTTTGGAACCACTTAGATTTTTCCATCTGCAGAGCAGTTGTAGCTGACTGATAGTGATTCCTCATTCAAACTATAAAGGAGGGGGGAATCTGTGGAAGTCTAGGAGTGCCAAAATTAAATTGAAATCACTCAAATGTAATTTGCGCATGATGTCTCCATTTATTCTTAGCCTGCATTCTCTGCACTGCTTCATTCACTTGTGTCTACGCTGTGCCTATATTTGTATCGTTGTTCTCTCTTTTCCAAACGCTCATAAAAGCAGAACAACGACACGATTTAAGGCACAGAGGACTTAAATGGTACCTAGTGTTCCTGCAGGGCATTCAGCTTCTGGCAGCAGTTCAGTTGGGAAACAAAAAAGAAATGGCATTTTTATTTGAATAATGGAATGATTTCTTAGGCTTGTTACGTTAAAGTCATCCATCAAAGCAAGCAGGAGAGAAATAACAGCTGGAACATACTACTACTTTTTCTCTTTCTACCACTGCTGCACCACCACATGGATGTGGCACACACACACACACACACACACACACACACACACACACGTGGTGACTAAAACTGTCTCCCTGCTGCGCTGGAATGAACAACAGAAGCTGCGATTGCTGCTCTACAGTAAAACTGAAAATCAGGGTGTGTGTCCCTCCTGCTTTGAAAAAAACCCATTACATTTCTAGTAATTGTTGGCTATAATGTAAAATTAACAATGCTTGGTTCAGTGAGCCTATTACTGTCTTTTACATTTTAAAGAAATAAGACATTTATTCTAATGGTCATTGCTTTAAACTGTTACTGTTTCAGCTTTCTATCCAGTAAAAGTGATTAATATTTGTCTACTTAAAGTTGTGTTACAGAGTAAATCTTTTCAAATGGACGTACTAGGCACATGACAGTGCTGCTGTGGGATTTCCAGTGCTTCTATACTTAGAAGAAAACAACCAGCCCACAACTGGACCTGTCTGGTTTACACTCACACTCTCACACACACACACACACACACACCTGGGTCACTTGTGACATACTGCAGGGGAGCTGGGAACATATCTAGGCTGACTCACATTCATAAACCCTTCACCAAGGAAAGTTCAGTTGACATAACAGCGGCCTTAATAAGACTCAGCAGTGCAGAACAACATTTAATCCGGTTAAGCTCACTGAGGGTTTCAGAAAACACCGTCCACCAAGTGCTGAAACCTGTTGACAATTTATTCCTGTCAGCCTAGACACTTAAGAAACAGTATCAGTATAAAGTCCTAAAGTGACGTAATATTTATATCGTATATTAATATCTCCAGTTTTGCTAGTTTCCTTTGTGGAGATTATAATCAACTTGACAAGCTTTCGCCTCTGTGGGTGAGTTTATGGTTCATGGCCCTGAATTTGTCTAGAACTGATGATGAACACCAGTGCAGGGCTGACTCACTGTATACACACAGTGTAAAACAATGCATGGCTATTGAATCAAACATATCCATCCTCTTCTCACAGTAAAGGCTGTAGGTGTTGGTCCTCATACATACATTCCTACATTTGCGATTATGGCATATAGACCTAACTAGAAGTTTATTATTTACACCAGTGACTTGTCTCACTTCCACGCATCTGAATTCAGTGTGTGAGTGTGACGGAGCTGTATTGTAAAAACATTAAACTTAACCTTAAATTTCATCATCCAAGAAACATCTTCTCAATCTGTGTTCAGGATGCAGGAAGGTTCCCTGCTCACAAGATGCAGGTAAAGTTTCAGACGTAAATTGAAGCTTATATAACTGCTCATGACAGATGACTATAATCTCACTGTGACTGTAGGTCTGAAGTGTGATGCTGTGGACCAGAGAGGGGGAGAGTGGGTGGTACCAAGCAGCCAATACGAATATCAAAACCGCTAACCAGAATGTCAGCTGGCCAATGGCATCCCCCATCATTGATGCGCAAGGTGTCCTGCCCATTTCCTGTTTCCATGGTGCTCGGTGACAGGAGCGTCACGGTAACCACTGTGAAACAATGCACAATGGCGTAGACACACCCTCTCATTAGCGGCGTCCACAAAGGCTGGCACCATTATATAGTCTGACACTGATACTGACAAACAAACAAACACACAGGCACACACGTGTGCAGACACACAGACTCTTACAACACTCACACACACTCACACACAGCAGGCCCCTGGCCTAACTAGGCAGCAGTTGTGTCGCCAAAAATAGTGGAGGTACACCTGCGTGCTCTGTACATACTAACCCCAGCCTGACACATGCACACACTCTCTCACGCACAGATACCCATCCCTCTCCTGTCTATACCGCCAGTTCTCCATCCAGTTCAGACAAGACCAAGCTGGCTGGCTCGTTGACCAGATACATGCACACGCCGCTTCTGCCACTGGCTATTTAAATACAGATTGCTGTACTCCAACATTTCAAGGAAAGGCGCTGATCAGATTAGAGGCTAGAAATAGAGCACAGCGCTTCATAAGGAATTATCAAATGACAATGACAGCCGTCAGCACACCGTGAACTATCATAAAACCATAATATCTTCAAGCCATGAGATCAAAGTGTCTGGATTTGGTTTGTTTTTGTGGCTTCTCCCTTGCTTTTTATGTCAGAGCGACTTCCAACCTGTTAGCCACTTACTCTCACGTTGGTCAGTGGATGCAGGTATATCCTGCTGAATGGATAGGCAGGACTTACTGCTTCTCTTTCCTTGCTCTCATTTGGTTTTGCAACACTTATTTATGATCTGCCATCATTCAATGCTTAATTCTTTAATGGATTTTAAGTGTGCTGACCCTAAGTTCAGGTTGTATTGTTGATTTAGGAACGTCTGCTCTGATGTTTACCCTCACTGGGAGTCACTCTAGGTCATACAGTCAGATGACCTTACAGTGACACAAGGTCTGAAGTGTGATACTTCGAACCGGGATGTCACGATGACTGCGTCAGAGGCCAGAGCGGCAGCAAGCAGCCAACAGGAATTTAAAACAGTCACACTATCAATACACCAGTGGGATCCTCTGAACCGGATTTCTAAAAGGTGTCAAATCCCCGAAACAGACGCATAAACTCCAAATCACCTGTCAGACTTTCATGAGCCGATCAACCTAAAAAACCTGGTCAACATTCCAGCCACCAACCAGCTTGTCAATTTTGTTCATGCCAACAAGAGACAGTTCTTCACGTCATCAAAAAAATGTAAAGGGTTTTCCTGTCTGAACAGTTTTTGGTGTAAAGTAATGGTTCAACAATTTATTTGCTTTGTAAGTTAGAGAAGAAGATGAATAACACTCTCATTATCTGTCTTTTAAATATGAAACGACCACCAGGACATGGTTAGCTTAGCATAGCATAAACACTGGGAAGGGTCGAAAACAACTTGCCTGACTCCTTCACAAAATGTTGCTTTTCCTGTAAAATAACTACTTGGTTATTTGCTCTTTAGGAAGTCAATAACTAATAAAAGCTTTTACATTTACTTTTTCTAATGCTGCATTCCTGAAGTGGAAGGTCAGACATTCCCGTCTGCCAGGTTGAATTACATTGCATTGTAGTGGCACAGCTCTTCTCCTCTCACACATTTCATTCAAGGTTGACAATGAAACACAAGCGTGTTTTAAAGAGTCTAACATGCATGTTGCGTCGAGTTTACAGTGAGTACTGCCATGTTGATGCAGCACAAGACGACTGACTGCATTTTAGAAACCTGACAGGGAAGGACTTCCTACCAAGTGTTACTTGAAATTCACTCTGTGGCATCTGACTTTATATCTAATGAAAATAAGCATCTGTCTCTTAGCCTCTGCACCTGGAAAAATTCTCCACCACATGTGTTTTGAGTTTCGGTTTGTTTGAGATGAACAGAAGAACCATGTGGTTAGTATTAGCAGCAGAAGTTAGCCTGGCTGAACAAAAAGAAAATTAGCACCACCTATAGAAACTTCATCAACAGAAAATCAGAGGGAAAAGCCTTCTAGTTTGGGATTTGCATCGCTGGGAAGCACAGTTCAGAAACAACATAGCGAAATACCAAATATAGACTAAACAAAAGAACATGGCTAAAAAGGACTTTGAGCGGGCTTTGGGCTGTGACTCACAGATACAGATGGTGGCGAGGAGTCTGGTAGCAATGAACGGAGGCAGGCAGTTCTGGAAGGCCGGCTGCAAGACGTAATTGGAGAAGGTGAGAGCGATGACTGCCAGCGTGGTTGGATACATGATGAGCACGGCACTCCATAACAACAGAAAGCTGCAGGACGAAGAGACAAAACACACAGCATTTTGTATGTGAGAGTAAACAGTTTCTTTGGTGGCATTTTTTTTTAAATTCGAGTTTAATATGGAGAAGTTGGTGCTACAAGCTGTGGTGTTGACTGTTACTTGGACAGGAAAGGGGCTCTCACTGCTCTCTTTCAGTTCCACCCTGTGTTCTCATTCATGCTGATATTAAGAGCTGCCCAGCACTGCTTTCTGCTGTTGATCAGTTAGGGTTGGGTGACTTAAAAGCATCAGTTAAAAGAGACTGATGCTCAGACATGAAGAGGAGACAGTGGAAAGAAAGGAGGTAAATACAGTAGGACTTATCTTCTTGTAATTGATACTGTGACCTTTGACTTGTCTTGAGACTTTTCTCACAGTGCAGCCCTCTATTTAGTAATAGAATACTGAATAAATCCACTACTTATAGAAAATAGTCCAAAAATGTAAAGGCCAATTAGTCTTTTTTTAGGCTTTTCAAGCTTGTGTCTTTAAAGAATAGCTTTAAAGCAGTAGCTCAGTCCATAGGGACTTGATTTGGGAACTGCAGGGTTGCCAGTTCAAATCCAGCACGTACCATGGTACGCAGTGGGGACTGGTAGCTAGAGAGGCACCAGTTTACCTCCTGGGCACTGCCAGGGTGCCCTTGAGCAAGACACAGAACCCCTGCAGTGCCTGACTATGTAGCAGCCTAATCACTATGGCATCTCTCCATGACTAATGCATATGCATGATTCTGTATTTCCTGTGTGTGAAACACAGGAAAATAATAAGCAGATTAACTGATAATGAAAATAATCATTAGTTGCAGCCTAGTGCTGGCAATATTTAATGGTGTCTGAGGAGGAAAACAGAACTCAGTGATAAAGTAATGTACTTAATGAGGGATGTACGACCACAAAGAAGGGAGAGAGTGTGTCGTTAGATGGGGGAGATGTGGTAGTTCTGCAAGGGTGTGGTGGACAGCGCTACAGACGTGTTCCTACATTATTATTGTATCACCTAACTGTCGCCCAACAAAAAGTGGTGGGAAAAAAAATATTTCGAGCATTGAGAATGCCTTTCTAATTCATTGCACTCTCGATTTCCAAACTGCAGTTGAATGGATGTAAACCACTTGAGAGAGCAGCATGAAGGTTAAGCCTATGTTTCTGCTTTTAATATACTGGTGCATTTATTTCTGTATTAGTTCTTGTTTGGTTCTTTTAAGGCAGCACCAGTATTTGTTTGCCCTGCTTTACACGTGGAAATGAATGAGCGAAACAAAGCCACACAGGACTAAACTAGGGCCGCCACAGGCATGCACACTACAGGGCATGTTTGACCTTCTCATACTTACAGCACTGCTCTATGATCAGCTGGCATGTCACATGACTACATGACAGTCACAGGACCTTCAGAGCTGATTGGTTCCAGCCAGGCAGCCGTATTAAACCAACCCTTTTGTGTACAGACCCTAGAGACTATTACTCCACTCTAGGTTGGTAATTGCTGGGAACTAAAACAGTCAACATGAATCGTCTCAAATTAAACCCAACTGCTGTTGTAGTGTAGGCACAGCAGTGTTAAACAACAGTACTTACCCCACTAGCCCTCCAAAGATTTCTGTCACATACGAATAGTCTCCTCCAGACTTTGGGATGGTGACGCCAAGTTCAGCATAGCACATGGACCCAAGGGCACAGATCCCTCCTCCACAAACCCATACGATGAGTGACAGCCCCACTGATCCTGCATGCTCCAACACTCCTTTAGGTGAAATGAATATCCCAGAGCCAATGATGTTCCCTACAGAGATAAGCAAAGGTTCAGGTTATTTACACTTGTTTGTAGGTAATTCAATATTTAAGTACTATTACACATTTCAATTTTCATGTTTGTTTCTGGTTTGTCTTGGCAAAGGACCGATGTGTAGGATTCAGCTGCATCTAGTGGTGCAGTTGCAGATTACAACCAGTAGAGCTCAGCTTGTGTTTAGGAGAAACTACAGTGGCAACAAAAGTTGCAAAAAACACAAAAGGCCCTATCTAGAGCCAGTGTTTGGTCCGTTCTGGGCTACTGTAGACACATGGCGGACTCTGTAGGCGAGGACCCGCTCCTAACAAAAACACAATCATTTTTATTATTATTATTCCTGCCAATAGATCCTCCTTTAAGTAATGAACTGTTTTGTCTGAGGCTTGTCAATCCCCTTTATTACTCAGATATCCATATACAGGTTTTTGAGACATTGAAAACAAAACTGGCTTGAATAAAAAAAACAGCATCCAGATATCCCCAGAGGCTTATTAAAACAGCCAAACCATTTAAATTTTAGTCAAATCTTTGGGGATTCCCTTCAACTGACTTTTCTAATCTCCAAAGAACCTTATCATCAACATTATGCTGTCTTGTGGTGGATGTGTAATATGCATGTATAATAAGCTTTTTGGACTATTATTTTGTATATTGTAAGTATTTGGATGACTTTTAATAAATAAAAAAAAATGTAACAAAAGAATAGGTGTTAAACCTAGACACACAGAAGCCTAGGGTCAGAGGTCAAAGCACCAACAGTAGATATTGCAACTGTTTTACGTTGAATTCTGGAGGACACAGAAGTGTGTTGGTAACAAAGAGGATGCAGGTGGAAAGAACAGATTAACAAAGACTTGTTGACAAAGAAACTTTAACACACAAGGAAGAGGAAAAATTCTTAAATCTCTCCCTTCACTTTAAATTTGCTAAACAACAACTTTTGGCATTATAGTCATTATTTGGTAATGAGTGTAGCTGGATGTAGGGATGTTTTACAGACATGACTGCATACATCAGCAGGTTAAAGCTCTGTTCTGTCCCCCCAGTGTCGTGTTTCATTAAAGAAAAACACAATTTGACTACAGGCCTTCTTTTTGATTTATTTTTCTGTTTCTGTAGTCAGATGATTGCATGAGTATAAAATGGTAAATTGGCTCATACATCAAACTTCATACATCAAACTGACAAAAAGAGACAATTATTCTTGGGCTGCTGCACAGAAACCCTCAATCAAATCATCTACACTGACATCATCCCAAAAAAAAACAAAACTGTGTGATTAGCTTTTAACCCAAAAAAATCAATCACAGTTACAGTTGAATTTTAACATTGCTTTTACATGCTAGGATCATGTCTGTGATTGTTGCACTGCAGTTAATTTGTGTTGGCGTGAGTCATTGTTTTACTATGGAGAGAACACAGACACTAAACCACATGGCAGCATCTATGTTGCTGCGGGCTGCTCAGATTGTGGATGATGGACAAAAAAAAAAAATATGTGCTAAGGATGGCAAGAATCACTGATTAGCATTGCTGCACTGGCATAAGTTCAAGATATGATCCCCTGATTAAAAAAGTGTGCATCAGATACAATTTTGGATGAAATCATTTCTAACATCATTGCACTGTTATTATTTAGAAAGTGATTATTTGTGACCAATAATTTGATAGTCAAATGGATTTCTCCTCTCTAAACAGTTTCTGAAGGCAGCTTAAGAAGAACCAAAGAAAATCAAACTCTCTCTACCATAATGAATTGCAGCATCATATCGGTTGGGAATGCGTATTTCATTGGCCTCAGTGATGGAGATGCACATCCCTATTATGTGCGTATGTACTGAATTCTTAGAGAACATTAATTAAGTAATTAAGTAACATGTCCCCAATTGGACAGAGAACCACTCAGTCTTGTAACACTGGACCCTTCAATAGCTCCCTGGTGTCCAGAACAGATAGCAAATGATCCCTGACGCATATAACAGTAGTTGTGGAAGGAAACCAGTAGTTTACCGCTTTCAAAATTTTTTGTCTAACTTTAATTAGACTGCTTGTATAATTTATTCTTTATGGAAAACAACAGAAGAAATTCAAGCACCACCTGTCCCACGTATGTAATGACACAACCATAGCTATATTTGGTAGAATGAACCGGTTAATCCAATTTGGCCTTGTGGTGCGGTGGAAACATGGCTCATTGAGGTCCTGGCTCAGCTGTCCCCCAAACAGGGGTGGTGGCTCACTTGGCTATGACACAACTAGAAGGGCACTCGGAAAGTGCAGAAGACATCCACCATGCCAATGGTTCAGTTTTCTATGATATACAAATCTGCAAGCGCAACCGCTGTATATGTCTGTATTACAGTCAACCTATCTCGCAATGTAAGAGTGAAAAATAATAATGTGTCTCCCCCGTGATCTGCTCCATAATCTAACAGGTTCTTCTTTGGCCCATGCTACACCCTTCCAGCAAGTTCCATGAACATCCAGGCCAGTAGTTTTTGCGTAATCCTGCTGACAGACAAACGGCACCGAAAACACAACCTCCTTGGTGGAGGTAATAGGACACCATGTCATGTGTTTAAATCCAGCCTGGTACAAAGAAAAGACAAAACATAAACAAACACACATAAAAAAGCAAGCAAACAGCAGCTGTCCAAGCAAAAAGTGTTTTTCTCCTCTTTGGTGAACTTTGGGGACAAATGGAGTCTTCACAACAAATTTGCTGTCCACTGTAAACATTTTATCAGTTCAAACCCAGTGAGGCACGCCATCGCGGCTTCCCCGTTAGAGCTGCTCCGAATGCTCCCTAATGATGACGGGGAGAGAGGAGGTCCGAGCAGTGCATTTATCACTGTCAGATTTGATTGTGGAGGCCGTGGTGAGATGCAGAGCTGTTACATAACGCCTATGTTGTGTTTGTTATGTCATAAAGTTTGGCATCACAGCTGAAAGTGTGAATCAGAGTCTTACTGACCCTCACAGCCTCCCTGCACTTGAGCTGAGAAATGACTCCTCAGAAATCACCATTTTATTCAAATCATGACAGAGAGTTAAGACTTATCCTACCAGTGTAGACAAGCATGGAGCATAACCGACTCAAACTGCCTGAGGTGAAAATATCTGCAGGTGGAGGTGGGGCTGGGAAAATGTGGAAATAGTGGTAACTGTCATATTTACATTGTCTTAGATTTTTATATTGTTTATTTGCTTTATTGTCCAGCCCCTAGGTGTAGACAGTACTGCACACAGTAAAGCAGTAATGCGCGCTGACAGCTCCAATAGTCCACCTTACTAGAGAGGGGCGTTGGATATGTGAGTAGGCTGTATCTGGTGGGTAGTAGTGTGACTCATGTTGTATGTGTGTACTAGCTTCACAGGCTTCACTCCATCTGTGCTTCGCAGAAAAGACCTGGCAAGTGGTCGGTATTAACCGGAGTGATCTGAGCACCCATTTCACACTCACAATATTAAATTAGACAAAGTATATAACCCTTGAAGCTCGGATATACTGTAAAGCATAATCTGAGCTGTGGGTGTACTTTGAGAGTTTAGCAAAGGATTTATACAGCTACTACTTGCCAAATGGACAAAATACTTAAATGGGCCGGCCAAAGAATGAGAATTCACTGGGACTGTATCAGTTTCTATCAAAGCATAGTAGACATGACCTTGCTTATAAAGATAAGCTATTAAAATGATAACATTAGTATTAAAAGTGCCACACTGACTCCATTGTTCTCTATTTATCAGTTGTTCTGGTAGGTTTGTGTCTGTTTGCTTAGTGAAATACTTTTCCGTTTGATTTTACATTTTTATTACCCTAAATATGTAAAAGACAAATCTGTGTAATCTGTGAGCTGCAGCCACAGGAGGTAATCAGCATGTTAAAAAGATACAGTGGAAACCACAGTATAAAACAGACTAGAAGGTCCAACATCTGTCTTCAACTTCCAGTCATGTTGGTTTCGTTCCCCTTTTACTTGGAGGGGTCCGCCTACTTGTGGTGTAGAAACTTATCATTTGGAGGTCCTGCCTGCAGAGGTACACTTGGGACTTAAGTCATGGCAGTACTGTTTTCACTGGCACACTCCTGATGCCCCATTACATGCAGCTAGACAGTCAGTTAAAGCCTGTCTTATGACTCTACTGCCCCTTTTGTATGACCACACAGAAGTGATTTACTGAGTCAGATGAATGACTGCTGAAAACGACCTTGTACTTGACCTCTCTCTTCATTCATTCTCTTATTTATCCAGTCTTCCCAATTCTGTGGTCCAGTGGTTCATCCTGCATGCGCTTGGCTCATGTTATAATCTAAATAATTTTGAAAAACCAGCCAACATTTATGAATGAAAAGGGACCAAAGCTGAATTTTGAGAAACTAACAACAATTCACAGTGTACAATAATAAAAGGTGGGTTAAGCCATCTAATTGATTTAACAAAACCCAAGAACAGACACAAAGTCTCACACAAAAATAACTTAATGACAACATTCATGTCGTGTCATGAAGTCATTAGCAGCCCCCCCCCCCCCCCAGAAATATAGAGGCTGGGGATATGAGTCCAATCAGAGGCTGCTTATCAGATGCCAGCTGGCGCTTGGGGAACCCTCTGCGTTACTGTCATATTCTTATAGCACATACTGCATAACCTGTTGACTTTACTACTGCAGACAGGGTTGTTTCCGACACTGCATACTTTCAGCGCTATAGCTCTGTTCATAATGTACAGGAAAGCCGTGTGCAACAGCGCAGCTTCCTGTATTTAAACATACCCAGACTCATTATGACCGCACAACGTAAATGTCACGTATCGCAGCATGAGTCATTTTAGTAAGCGCGGTTTATCAGAGTAAGGGCGGTTTATAATAAGATGAAGGAGGAACAGTACTGAAGCCCGAACCCCGGCAGCGATGCAGTGTTAATGCTCTCCTGTCCTACAGAACCACATGGAGGCTGTGCTTTGTCTGCATGCCTTTCAAGTTCAAAAAGATCCAGCCACGTAGGCATGTCCATAGTCAGATCATCCCGACTGATGCAACAGTTTCCACACAGAACTCTGCCTAAAGTCCGATCTGGACCTAGGCATCGGAGATGGACCATCCGTGCGTAAAAGCGGTTCTTTCTGCGCGTATCCTGGCGGTTTTGTGCCAAATTCTGGCACAAAGACTGTTACACTATTTTTGAATTATAAGCTTCCCCTACAGTGTGCTTACAGCAGATCAGGATTCGAACAAAACCCTTTCTGTGGCTGACTCCTATTGTGTGGCATGATATTGTTAAAAACAGTGCAACAACTGCACATCCGCCACGTTACAATAGTTCTCCCACCAGCCGGCCGCTCAAACACGTTTCTTCACGCAACTTCTCTTTGTAGCCGAGCCGATCTTCATGAATACACCATGTAAGACAAAAGTTGTCACACTCACCGATGATAATAGCGCAGGCGCTCAAAAGTCCAATTTCTTTTTTCAGGGTGACTCTGTCGCTCTTAGAGGAGTTTTTAACCTTCTTCTTTTCCTCGTTGTCCTCCATCGCCTTCGCCTTGCGAATGTGCTTCCTGCCCGCCTCGGTCCGGTCCAGATACTGTAGACTGAACCACGCTGCGCTCTCTGGGTTGCACTTATAATGTCCTACTGATGAACAGAGAAGGACGCGCGCCTGCGCACAAGCCACTACTGATTACTACCACCTTGTCTCAGGTAGACTGGTAAGGAGGGGGTGACAACATTCAGGGATCTAACACCTGAGGCCAGAAGAAGTACACAGAGAATGTATGTATGTTTATGTAATCATAAAAACCAGCAACAACAAAACATAAATATATCCTCAGTACCTAAATCAGTTTGATGCTACATACTGTAAATGTGTAGCTGGAATATATTTCACCAAACTCTATAAACCTGTCAACTTATCACAATGTGTATATATGCACAGCATGTGTACAAATCCACTCTAACTATCAATGTTATTATAATTATTTTATTTTTTGTGCTTTTGGACGTGTGCAAACTCCTCAATTTTGCCACCGATACAAATAAATATTAAAATAACAGCTTTTCCCTCCTGGGGAATAGTCCTAGTTTTATATCTGGACAAACAAGATTCAGGTGAGTCTGTTCTCCCTCAGGACTGCTGTAACTTGAGACTCAGCTCATTCTTTCAAAATGGGGGAGGGTCAACAGTATACAGTACTGTTTAACACAGACGCCTTCGATCAGTCTAGATTATAAGATTACTTTAGCGTTCTGCTAACTGACAGTATTTCTGAACATCAGAAGACAACGAATATGAAAACGCAGATATTAGAACAAATGAATATACAGTCACATTAGCTGCTCTGTGAGGCTGTACACAGGGGTGCATGCTAACATGCTCACAATGACGATGCTGACACTGACAGAGCACAAAAGATAGCCGGAGGAAGCCAAAAGTAATATCTGGACAACAGGCCTTTGTTTTGACAGGTTACAGTAGGAAAAGCACAGGTGTAACAAAATGAATGATGGCTGAATTCCATGTCACTGCTCCAGTTTCAGGGTCCTCCTATTGTGTTTTCCAGCCCACTGGCACACTGTCATGGCTTGGTGGGACACTTGGATAGAATAGATCCACTTCCATCCATTGACTTACTGTGTCTTATAACTGGGCAGTGTACCTACTGTTCAAACAACACCTCACTCACTCTCTCATAAGTGCTGTTGTACCTGTTAAAACGAGACACTGTACACCTTTAGGAATTTTTGAGTTTAGTGACCTCACGCAATAGGCCTATTTGTTGTGATTACATGTGATAGCAGGGACGAGCACAGGTGTACTTGAGGAACATTAATGATTGCTATATTCCATTTAGGCATTCCAGTTCGAGTTGCATGCAGGTGTCCATGATTGCTCACTGGAAAGGCTCACTGGCACACTTGTATGGATAAGAACCATCAGTAGTGTCACCTGTGTTGTGTTCTCAGAAAACACCTTAAAAATGACTGCATGTTAAATGGAAGTTTGTTGTGTCTTGTCAAAGTTTAATTTAGGTAAATAATATGCTATTACCAAAAGTCCTGCTCTTTTCCTAACCAAACTTGGATGGTGGAATAGAGTTTTTGGATTTGCCTAGTTTTGTTCACAACCCAGAAGTGGTCGTCTTGTGTCCTCCTCAGAAGGACCTTTCTTCTTCACACTTGCACCAATTAGTCAAATAGGCATAGTATGTGCCAGAGACACAGAGAGAGTGAAACTTTACCCCAGAATGATTAATTATTTCCCCTGCAGAGTATTTGTTTTCAATAAAGCCCCCAGATTTTTTATATGTCAACGCAAATGGACACACACACTCACACACATGTCAGACTCTTAGGCCAGTGCTGCTGGGCATTTCTGAGCATTCTTCACTTAAGTATTATTTCCCTGTATGGATCAAGCCAATTACGTAACTTGAAAATTTAAACCTAGTTAAAACTTTTGAACGGTGTATAGAATTTGGTGGTATCTATTAAATTCACTATTCAGTTGGTTTCGGATTGCAACAACTGAATACTGCTTGCATTCCAAGTATGAAGGAGGAACTATGTTGGCGCGAAATTTGTGAAAGGCCCTATCTAGAGCCAGTGTTTGATTAGTCCACTCCCTCTGTAGATAAATACAGTTTATGCTAAGGTAACAAAAATACAGAAACTCTTATTTTCAGGTGATTATACACCTCCTAAATGCTACACACTGAACCTTTTAAAGGATTTTAAAAAATATATATTTTGGCCATAATTCGTATAGCCTACCTGTTTATGGGTATACCTCAATAAATAAATAAATAAATACATTGATTAATTAACTCATTAATTTAATATAAATATAACAGGCTATGTGGACCCATCAGGGCCGTGACTTTTGACTTTTGACTGTTTAGTCTGCAAAAGCAGCCGGAGGTTAAGAGACCAAACAGGAAATGTTACAAATGAATAAATGGGCACGCTGAATAAGGTCAATGGTAAACGTGGCTTGCATGTTATTTATTGTTGTACCCTATTACCCCACTAGAACACACACTCTCTCTCTCTCACCCCACCTAGAGCCTGCTGCTGCAAAGTCTTGTCCGCGGAGGGGTGGGAACTGTTGGGTCATCTGTAAGTAATGGTGTGATAAGGGTGGTCGGGGGGGTCTAGAGCTGCTCTAGGTTGGAAAAGTGGTCCGAGAGTAACTTTCTGTTATGAACTATATAAATAAAATTGAATTGAAATTGAATTGTATTGAATGATTTATAAAAATTCTAAGAGCGTTATGAAATCAAGAAATCTATTAAGATAAGTCGCCTCCTCAACACAGTCAGAAATCTGATGGAAGTTTTGAGTAAGGATAGAGTCAGTTTGAGGCTACCCATAACAATGAACCTGCATGACCGACAGTCCACTAAGTGTTTTCTAGATTTGGCTCAAGAGATAATCCCTCTTGTTTAGCTGGTGTTTAATTATCTAAACAATTCAGCAGCTGTAGGTAAGAGTCTTTGTTCCTGTGGCTTTTCTTTCCCACCACAATACTGTTAGAGGCTTAGTTTTACAAACAAGGGTTTTGTCCTCTGATGATTTTTGTGTAAACTGGCTGTGGCAAGGTGTGTTCCTAGGTCTAAACAATCCTAGGTCTGTAGCAACAAGTGAATTCCCTGGGTAGAGCACGTGAGCTTTGTTGAGGTATCTTCCTCCTTTCCAGTTCCTCCCTTCCAGCACCTATGTAGCTGATGGCAAAGCAGAGAGAGACTTAGATGTATAGATTAAAGAGATAGTGGAAAATCAGACAATAGAGAAGTAAGAGATGATCAATGGTTTGGACAATGACAGATTGATAGATACTTTAAGATGGTAGAGACCATCAAATAGATACGAAGTGGTAACAGAGCTGTTGAGGTGATACAGCTCAGAGGGAAAGTGATAGAAAAGGTGAAGATGGTATAGTGATGGTTGATATGAGTTATAGATGATAGACAGTAGATTATTCTATTATCCTAACAGATTTACCCCTTTAGTGTTTACAACAAAGCACCAAAACCTATTAAGTAAATTATATTCTCATATTCTACTGTAAATAGAAAAGAATAATTATAGAAGGTTCCTGAAGTTGCTGGTGTATTTTTGGATTACTGTGGATAGAGAACTGTTAATATTCAAAGACAAGTTATTTTCAGGGTTATGTACCAACATTTATAGATAATACAGGGGGAGATTGGCTTCTGTTCTGTTGGTGGTTTTGTATTCACAGACCGTGGCTTTGAATTATAGGATTAGGATTTAGTGGCATCTAGTGCTGATGTTTCAGAGTGCAACTAACGGAACAATGCTTGTGTCTGTATTTGACGACCTGGGGCTAAAAGCGGGCTGTGAAGTGTATAGGATAATCTACGATGGCCGCGCAGTGCGCAAACAACAACCATATATAGACCCAGTGTTTGGTTTGTCCATTCTGGGCTACTGTAGGGTGGTTCAACATGGCTTCATGGAAGGCGACCACTCGGTGCATGTAGATAAAAACGGCTCATTCTAAGGTAATGAAAACATTATTCTGATATTTAAGTGATTATACACTAATAAAAACATATTATATACCTACCAATACATCCTCCTAAATGTTACACACTGGACCTTTAAGACCAAATATCTGCAAAACTGACATTCCCATCTCCCTGTACTGCACTTTGTGTTAAGTGTCAATTAGCAAATATTAGCATGTTAAACTAAACTTAGATGACGAACATTTTAGCATCAGCATTTTAGCACTGTCATTGTAAGCATGCTGACTTTACCTTTTAGTTCAAAGCAACACCGTGCCTGAGTACAGCATCACACCTCTTCACCTCTGTCTTGAGCAAGGCACAGCTGCTCATTAGAGGATTGCTGTCGCACCATGCCACCGTTTTCAAAGTGTGAATGTGAGGACTCCTACCTCTTCGAGCTTCCTTTGAGCTTGTTTTTTCAAACCTTTTTATATGCAGTTATAATATTATAGATAAAGCTTCTATTGCATTGAGCGGTGTGTCCACAGCCTCAACCACAAAATACATTCACACCAAGCATCACACACACACACCCATCACACTACACGAGCACAGACACAACACACCATCATTCCACCACCCTCATCTACAGTTTAAGAGTTAAGGTCGTAAGTTGCGGCAGGGCGAATGTACGAATGCACAATTGAACTGGAGGGCGCGTTTTCCAAAAGGAGGGCCCCCAACAAAGGAGGAGATTACTTTGTTGCGAAGGAAGCAGGCCTGAGTACTGGCCTGTCAGTGTTGATGGCGGGAGGGGATTGGAGAAGAGGAGGGATGGGGAGATGCGAGGGGAAAGAGCCAAAATACTGTGGTGGCTATAAGGGGAGCGAGTTGTTGCCCTAAACAAACAGATACTCCCAGCACGCAGTGGCAGGAGGGAGGGAAGAGGCTTAGGGGGGGCAGATAGAAATGGAGGGAGGAGGAGGAGCGAAGAGAGCTAGAGAGAAGAGCCGAGACGAAAGGGAAGAGGAGTAGAAGAAAGAACGGGGGAGAGCAACAGAGAAAGAGGGAGATGGCAGAACAGCGGGACAGGAGGGTGATGGGTGGTAGGGTGGAGGGCATGAAAAAAACGCAAATTGTGGGTCGGTTATA